TTCTTAGGAAGTCCTCGTGTTGCACCCATTTTTTTGCAGATGATTCTTTCGACGATACGCGCGACTTGAATTATGGTCCTCAGGTTTATTCGCAAAAAGACGTCAAATAGAAGCCTAAAGATTTATTAGTTTTCATTATAGTATTCATTCATAATATTTCTTTTAGTTAGTTTATTCTTTCATATTTTTAATACGTTTTGATTATTGTGTAAGGGATGTTAATCATAATCTATTTTATTTCGCTTCCGCACTTAGAATAAATATATAAATTTCCGGGGCCGTTATATATTTAACAACATTTTTAAAATGTGCAACGTAAAAAATGAATGTTTTGCAAAATAAAATGAAATATTTAGTTTGTACTTCCAATTTAACAAAGTATTTCATTCTTCTATTTATTTCGATTAAAAAAAAATTCCGTCACTATGATAAAATAAAAAAAAAATTTAATTAATAGATTTAAAACTAAACTATATTTATATTGTTAAAATTATAAAAATAAACAAAATTTGTTTTATTTTCATCAAACAATTGAGGGTGAGCAAAAACTAATTGGGACCAAGAACTGAACAAATCAAATCGATTACGGACCTAGTTCATCAAATAATTAGGGGTGAGCAAAATCAAAGCTTTTTGTTCCTCGAAACCATTGGATTGTAAAAAATTACCATTAAACGACTTATAATTATCAAACACCTTCTTATATACTACTGCTATTGACGATGAATCATTAATGATTAACATTTACCTGACAAATAAATAACCGACAATTTACCCAAATGAACCACCTCATTGCTCAATCCACCGATAATCGAAAGCGAAGCTGTTCTTCGACGTCCGAAATTCGTGAAAACCTAGGGTTCGACAAAATCAATATCAATGATTTTAACGATTCGCAAATCACGGGCATGCCCATGGCATCATGGGCCTTTAAGAATGAATTTGGGCCAAGTGGGACCCACAGTCTTTTTTATTTTTATTTTTGGCAATTAGAATCCAAAGTGTGGATCAAAAGCTTCTATTTTGTTTATTATATAACGTGGGACCCACTGACAACTATATACTCAAAAAACTCCTCTGCAATTAGATTCAACGCATCGTTAACATCAAAGTCACCTCGAGCGAAAGAAATCTGCAGCACAAGCTCCCGGAAACCTTACCTGATCAACCATCGTCATCCTTATGGAGCGGATTCAAGCTCGGCTTAATTTTACTCTTTTGCCAGTTCTTGCTGTTTCGGTTCTGCTTCTGCTTCTGCCTTCTCTTCAAGCCACTCATGTCAAATATTGCGGTTCGTTTCTTCGCTAGTCCCTTACCTCTTATTCTTCTTCATCCTCCTGCTATCTGTGCTGTTTGTATTTGTCTCAAATCACGTTTTAATTCTCAATATCTCTGGTCTAAATTTATTGGTGATAGAGATCTTAGGTTTGTGTTGTGTTTGGGTTTTTTAATTTGGAATTAAGTGGAAATGATTGATCGGAGATTTTCAAGTTTCTGGTCTATGCAGTTTTTTTGAACTTTTTATTATTTAGTTTCTTTTTCTTCGGTGTAAAATACGTTTAATATGCTTATTTGATACTATTACAAGCCTTTCGTGGACTCTCCTCTTGATTTTTTTTTTTTTTTTTCTGTTGAATTGAAATGGAACAGACAAGGATGCTGATTATGCTGTTAAGGTTAAAGATGTTGTGATATCACCTAACCCTGTCGTGAGGGGCAAGCCAGCCACGTTTAAGATTTTAGGTTCTACAGGTAAACTTCCAGTTCTCGGGATTTCTACATTTCATTTTCTTCCGTTTGTTTACTCGATTTGTGTATATGTGGTGATTATTTGCAGAATTTCCTCGAGTTTGTGTATATCATATACAGGAGTTTTGTTCACTTCTCATTTAAGTTTCTTTATATTTTACTTTATTCCTAGACCTTTTTATAAGTAAAATCGAGTCATAAATTTTTCTTATTCTTTCTTTAATATTTGGATCAAAATCCTATTGCTAGCTTTGAAGTCCTTCAAAATGGATTTTGGGATCATAATTTTTATGTTGGAGTCAACTCTATTTTTAGCTTGAGTTTTTTAAGATGGATTTACATTTCAACTTGATTGGGTAGTTAGAAATTTATTTACAAAGAATTCAAGCTATGACTGAAATTCATTCAAACGTGAAATTATGATCCAATTCTATATATCCAGAATTTTCTGGTCTTTACTTAAAGGAATAATCGGAATTGAATGAGCCATTAGTGCATTTCTCATTTATCTTCTGGATTATGTGAATTTCATTTTCTGTGTGTGATATAATCAATCCCTAAGTGTAATGATTAGTACTTATGTATGATGTCTGGAAAACTCTAATATTTAGGTGTTTATCTCAAATTCTAAGCAACTTAATTAACTGAACTTGTGCTACATCACTTTTTTTTTAGTGTTTCTCTCTTATTCTTTATTTGAGTTGGCACAAAGAAGAAAGCTAGGTTGCTCTGGAGATGAGCTCTTTGAAAGCTAGGTTGCTCTGGAGATGAGCTCTTTTTGCTGGTGCCATGTTGTGGTTAGAGTACAATGTTAGACTTTTCGAGGATCGTATGGCTTTTTGGCTAGTTTGCAGAAGTACAAATTGATTTTGATGCATTTCTTTCTTTCTTTCTTCTTTTTGTTGGTTTTGGAGATTTATTATCCTCTGCTTTTTGTCTTTTATCTCACCTAGCTAACAATATTTCTTTTTTCATGAAAAGAAAAAGTGGCTCCTGTAAAGTTTTTTTTCCAACAAATGACTTTACAAATGCTATTTGGCGTAGAGTTATTTTTATGGCCTCTTTTGTGGACTAAGGCACACAGATATTACAGGATTTACCATTTTATATTTTTCAAAGGAACTAAGAGGGTTTCTGATATTAATTAGACATCTTTTCCTCTTTTCTTTTCTTTCTTGTCTGATATCTCATGTTTTTGTATTTGCTTTCCTCCTTAATAAATTATTATTTTCCTATCTGAAAAAAGAGTTTAGTTGAAGTATATTTAATATATGAAAATTCTTTTCTGTCCAAACAGCCCCTTGTCCTTTTTCTCGGTTTGTTTAGCATGAGATAATGAAGATAATGGAGGCATTACGTTTCCTATTTATGTTTACGTTCATTTATGCACTTTGGAATTTCATCAAGAAAGCTTATCTTGTATCACTTATGCAGGTGAAAGTATCTCTGGCGGAAAACTGCTGATTGATGTTAAATACTTTGGAGTGCATATCCATCAAGAAACCCATGATTTTTGTGAGGAGACATCCTGCCCTGTATCTGGAAACTTTGAACTCTCTCATAGCCAGTCGTTGCCTGCATTTACTCCCCCAGTAAGTTTAACTTTGCCAAGAACCTTTATGCTCTTTTTTCCCTTCAACTCTTATCTTGCATATAGTACAGCAGAGTTAGGGAAGGCCAGAGGGCATGCTAGGTCATTGTGACTTGCAATTCCTTAACCTTTTGATTGTCTACTCAAATGTTTGAAGAATTATTTGGTCTAGAATGACTTCGGAAACATGAGAATCTTTATGATGTAGAACAAGAAGATCATAAAGCGAACATACTTTTTTTTTCTGAAATAAATAACGTGAACATATTTCATGATGCAAAACAAGAGATTTTAACGGAAACAAATTTAAATACTAAAAGATACTTTATTTATAAAAAAAAAAAAAAAAAAACTAAAAGATACTTATGTAATATTTAGGAACCAGTACATGTAGGCTTATCAATGGTATGCATTTATAATTTTTCTATTTAATTAGGATAATATTTAGTTAATCTCAGTTTTAGGTAATTCAATTAATTAACTTTTTTTCCTATTTAATATATATTTTCAAAAAAGAATTTCCTATTTAATATAATTCCTAAATAGACTTAAGAATTTTTATTTTGATTGTATTCTGGTACATTTAAATAGGGTACTCTAAATTATTTGGTAAGCTATCTATATGATTATAATATAAAAATTGAGTATTGATTTGATCACTGAGATTTGGGATCTCTAGTTTTGGTTCTTAGTTAATTTTCTGTAAGCATTATGTTGAAACTTTCTTTATCTTACATCAATTTGTATCAAATCCTTACTTCAGTTCATCACACTGTTATAATTTTCTCATTCCAACACTTTTTAACCCAACTGTAAAAAAAAAACGGTAGCAAAAAGAAAAGAAAAAGCTAAATGTAGAAAAGCATGCAACTACTTTGGGAGGCACAGAGCAGTTGAGACCAGTGGCATGTTCATCAGCTACCACTTGGAGGTGAATGACACCACCTTCACTGGCATCAGAGGTTGTCGACTGGCCTATGCACTGAGTCTCAGCCTCTAACTCAGCCAGACACCGTCACAGTCGCCAGTCAAATTAAGATCACAATTGCCTCGCCAGAATCAACGAGAAAGGTGTAAGAAGCGCAAAATCTTTGGACTGTTTGGGAGGAAACTCACGAGTGAGGTGTAACAATGTGGCAAAATATGATACTTTCAACTTTTCAAAAATTTTGGAAGCATTGACAAAAGGATATTAGAAACTCATGGAGTTGGCTATAATTGTGCCTAAAACTCAATGACTTCGTTATAATTTATAGTATTATTAAATTATGTTGGACTTTTTTCTTTGGTGAAGAACGTTGCTTTCTTATCTGGGGCCTTCGGCTCTACTTCATGTTTGTGTGGTCAAATATTTTTTAAAAAAGTCATCAGCTTTTGTTGTGAATTTGTGGCACTAGAAATTGTCTTCACTGCAATACTACTAGGCTTCATGTTCCCCACCTTCATTTCCAGTCTCTAGATAATTGTTCAAGTTGCTGGAATGAGCATGAGATTTTTGTCTCATCAAATATTGAAGAGGATAAACCCTAGCAAAGGCAAAATACTGTAGCATTGGACATGGGATCTCTCATGCCTCTATAGTGATAGGAGGAAGGAGCATTGGGACAACTGCCACATGGTTGAATGAACATGGCTTGTTTTTGCCTTCTTTTGCATAAGGACATATATCACAAATTGTTATCTTTGTCCTCTTTTTTTTTGACAAATTTGCTTCATAGTGTGCGGATTTCCTTTTTATGTTGTCCTTATTTATTTCTCCGGTCTTTAACTTGTCCTTGGGTTGCTCCGATTAGTTTGTTTCTAACTTGTATATAGCCTTGTCTCTGACATTTCATTATTGACTTAGTTTTGATTTGTCTCAATTTTGGTAACTTTTCTTGCCTGTCCCAGATGCTCATGCCCTTTTTACACATCAAGACCATCATCCCTTATGTTTTTACTAAAACTATTTTGGCATTACTGATTCAGATAGATTATCTTTATTTTGTGGGAGATAGATTTTGAATGTACAAATTCTGTGCTATATTTTCATACTGACATGCAAATTTGCCCCATCTTTACAGGGCTCTTATACCCTCACAATGATAATGTCGGATAAGAACGGTGATGAGCTAACTTGCATCAGCTTTGACTTCAAAATTCGTATTGGATCCTCAGTCTCCGATAGTTGAGTGCCCGATCAACAGTTTGTCTTGATGGCCTTGCGTTCTGCGTAACTGTCCTCTCAAGAATCAGGCTCCAACTTTCAAGAATCAGGTTCCGACTTCCCAACATCTGAATGTTGTACTTGTATTTTCTGTCCAAGAAGATGTTCTGTAAAATGAGGATTTTAATTCCTCTCTGTAAACATGAAAAGATGTTGAGACAAATACCGTATCAAATCATTTGTGCTGTATGCTATGTTTGCTTCACGCTCATGCTTCGCCATGAACCCGGTTACTTCAATATTGCCAAACAACAGCGTAAAGATCCTGCCCTAAGACAGTGAAAAGACAACAAATAATCTCTTGTTCGAATAACTAGTACGTTTATTTCTTTTCTAAATGGTGCGAGTTTAAGAACAAATCCCTTTTCTTACAACAACTGATACAAATTAAACTTATTTTTAATTTATCTTTTTAAGTGAATTCCTAATAAACACCACATCAAAATCTACTATTTTTGAAAGCACTTGTGAACATTTTCTTTCGGGATAAGGGCGATAATACACATTTAGTCATATTCCAATTCAAAGAATCTTATTTATGTTGTAATATCTAATTTGTGGATATTAAACCGTAGAATGAAATGAAACTATAATAAAATGTAAAGAAAATAATATTCTTCACTATTTGTTTAAAATAATGTATTTATAATTCGAATAAATAATTTGAATAAATTTATAAAACGGCATGGATAATTCAAAAATAAAATGTTAAAATTTTCTCGGTGTTCTTAGAAAGTGGAATAGAGATTAAAAAGCATTTAAAAAGAGAATCGGATATTGATATCATTTTTCATTGGATCTCATACATACAAAAGCATCATGATTATATTTTTGGCTATATTTAGTGTATTTGTGAGATTGAAGATAAAAAAGAGGTGTATATAATACGATACGAAATTTTTTTATAAATATATTTTTATGATATAATATAACAAAAAGTTAAAAAAAAATTAATGAATATTAATAATAAGGGTAAAATATTATATTTTTTGTGAAATAAGATATTTTTTTTATTTTAATATATAAAATTTTTGTAAAATATAATAAATTTTAAAAGACATAAAATTTTATAATATTACTATTAAAAATTTAAATATTTTATATTATAATGTATTTTTAGTACTTATAAATTCTTATTAATTAATTAATAAATTATAATTATTTATGTTTTTTAATAAAATATATTAGCTTAAAATTTGTCTAGTTAAGTTTCATCAAATAATTTTTATTGCTTTTATGTGGGTAAAGTTTTTAGTTTTAATGAATTTTAATCCAAAAAAAAAATATTAATTTTTTTTTCAATTTTAATAAATTGTTAAATATTTAATTTAATTAGAGTTTAAAGTTGAAAATTTAGTAAAATGAACCCAAAAAAAAAAGAAAATTAATTATTTTTTAAATTATATTTTAATTAAAATAAAAAAATATATATTTAAAATTTATCATACAAATTTTAATTTCATTTAATTTTATTATCTTTTTTTAATTAATTAATTAATTAATTAATTAATATTAATAAATTCTACAAATATTCTAATTTTATTCCAAATATATCCTTGATCTCTCCGGCTCTCCTCTCCCACAATCAACAGGCTCAAACCAAAACATTATTATGACATGTAATTTCAATTTCCTTCTTTCAGAAAATCTCCGCTTGTTTCTCTGCAAATCCGATATTTTCTCCACTCTCCCTCTCCGAGTTTTCACAGATGATGTCCATTTTCTTTCTCAATCTGTAATCTCTGCTGCTCTCCTCTTCACTTACTTCGCAATCGAATGGACGTCATCTCCGAAGATTCTTCCGATTCAACTCAGCGAGTCGACTCGGACAACGACCAGCGAGTCTACTTCGTTCCCTTGAGGTCTCTTCTTCCTTTCTCTCTGTTTCTTTTACTCCTCTACCTCTTTAGTTTCGGCATTCACAAATCTGAGCCGAATTAAGCTAATGCAGGTTTTTTTTTTTTTTAGTAATGTAGCCGTTATTGACTGCGTGTGTCCTCACGGAATAGGTAGGGTAATGAAACTAGATGACATGAGCATGTGATTTAGAATCTTAAATCAAGTTGGATTGGAGTAGGATATGTCGAGATTTATACACACACACACACACACACACATCTTGGTAGACATGTAATCTGCTATTTCTTTTTTCTTCGTCCTGATGCCTCAGCTTCCAAACGGGTCATTTTCGTGGCTTTATTTAGCTTCTTGCCAAGGTTAGGATCCTAAATTTTCCAAGGAATTGATTGGGATTTTGAAGTGAATGCCTTTCGGGTTTTATGATATGAAGTGGCTCCTAAGAGATATCTTGCTTTTCTGCCTTCTTTTTTCCATAAGCTAAGCAATAATGTTCTGCTGCTCTTTGAAACCTTTCTGATATGGGTATCTCTGCGTTGTGGAAATTGATTTAGTCTACTATTTTCATTTTGACATGTGAATTTCAGGTGGTGGAAAGATACTCAGGATTCAACATCTGGGGAGTCAGATGGGAATAGAGGGGTCCTCTATACTGCAACACCAGGAACATCCTTTGCAGGCCCCATGAAATTGTTCAACAACATAATCAACTCGGATCTCATGTTCAACCTTAGAAGGGATGGGGATTCTTTGCGAAATAGTGAAAATGGTGAAGTAGGTTGCTCAGGCCGGGACTTTGCATTGGTCCAGGGGGAAATGTGGTTGCAGGCACTCAAATGGTGAGGTTAAGTTCTGAAGAGTTTTCTGCTGCGTGTTTCCCTTTCTAAATTTTTCCGGTATAATGAGTGAATGTGTTAGAAACAATGTGGATGGGAACAGTTGTGCTCAAAATGCAGCTTATCGTCGGTCTTTTGGTTGTCTGTTTTTGAAATTATAACAAGTGTCTAATACAGTTTGCTTGATGCCAGTTGGGTGGTATATATTGTTATTTTGGATTAATCTTCTACTGGTAAATGGATGATTACTGGTAAGCTAAGTACATAATATGCAAATCTCGGACATACTTATACCTGTCGGACTGTTATATATTATCAAACAACATTATTATGTTTTTAACAAGAAGCTTGTTAGTGTATGTGGTAGGGTTCCTAGTTATTGATACGGAGACAGTAACTTCCAAATAAAAAGGTTTGCTGCTACTTTTTTTTGCCAATACTTGTTACAATTTTGATGCTCCTAATTTCTAGGTTGTGTTGGAATTACTATTCTTGACATTACTTATTTATTGGCATTGGCAGCAATTGGTCAATGAGTACCAGGAGTTGGTTTTGTCAGATAAATTGATTTGGAACTTCTAATATGAAAGTTCTACACATTCTGTCTTTTATAATCTAGGAGGCTTCTAGAAAAGAAAAATGTTTATGAGGCATTTGTTTCAGTTGCCTGAATGATTGGATCAGTGGTTCTAAGGTTCTTCCTATTTGGCCGTTGACACATTTTTATAGGGATTTCTTCCGTCTTTTATGCTTTATACCATGTCTCTTTTTACCTTTTCTTCTTGTCTTGATGAAAGACTTCAATAATTACTCTTACTTTTAGAATTTTGTTTTTCTTGACGTATCAATTCATATGAGATGCTTATTTATCTTTAAGAAACCAAAGATGGATATCTAAGGACTTTTGAGCCTAACCTAAAGTTTGTGTTCCCCATGTAATCTCCTACTGTTTGGAGGGCCATGTCCATTCCCAGAAAATGTCTCATTTGAAAGCCGCTTGATCGAGACATATATATAAAGAAATTTTGTTTCAGACACAGAAAATATTTATTGTTACTCTCCAGCCATTCAACTCGGAAAAGTTCTGCAGAATTCAAAAAGGATAACCTGTCTATTTGAGTTGCCTTCATTTAGATTTTTGTTAATCTCGTTAGTGTTTGCACTTGGTTCTTTCAAGTGGTGCATTCAGTCAAAAAGAACAATAGGAACAATAGGAATAATTGGTAAGATGTTAGATTTACTTTTAGAAAATTTGTAAGTTTATATGGAAGGTTTATGAGTGGGGTTAATTTTTTTATATGTTTTCCTTTTCTCTTTGAGAGGTTTTTGGAAACATAATATGATCTCAGAGTTTCACTTGATTTTTTCTTTTTTTCCTTGAGAAACTGAAGGAAAATTTTTGTTACATCTCTACTGGTATTCTCCTCCTGTTTCTTTAGCACATTGATGCTAGAGCTGCAGTGAAGGGTGGAAAAAGCTTTTCAGCTGCAGAAGATGATATGGCAGATGTCTACCCTTTACAACTCAGGCTTTCTGTTCAAAGAGAAACAAATTCCCTGGGAGTGAAAATTAGCAAAAAGGTAAGTTGATGAAAGAAATCCACCCACATTGTGCTTGATCTCCTTATGTTTTGCCCTTTTCTTTTTTCTAGAATTTAGTTTAATTGTTTTATAATTTAGTAGTGTGTTTGTTAAGATTTCACTCATCATTTGTTAGATTTTCAACTAAACATATCAAATTTAAGATTTCACTAACAATTTATGAACTTCCCGAGTTTTAGAGCCTCTTATCTCCTTATCCAAGTTTTCTGAAGATCTATACCCTCCTAGCCTAACTACCAGTGCCTCTCTTATCTTTCATCAATCTAAAATCCTTGGAACCACTCGTAACTAATAGAGTTTTCAACTGCCAAACATCTCTAGTTTTGTGTTTTCATTTTTAGAATAATCTCTTTGTTGGTGTTCTAATACTTTTCTTCCTCGTTTAAGGAATAGTCATCTATCTCACTCTCTCTTTGGGTGTACATGCCTCTTGTGTTTGTTTGGTTTTTTAGATTATGAAGAAGGAAAGATGACAATGACAAGAATCAAAGTCTATATTTCAATTAGAAATCTCCTCTCATATTCTTGTGCTTGACCCAATTCCTTTCATACATATTAAGGTTGATGATTTTCTTGATTTCTTTCTTGTCTTGTTAATTAATTGCATCTTTTTTTATGATGAAAGAAGTATTATTAGAATGGAGAGAAGGTACAAAGATAAAGAGAATAAAGCATCCTTGGTAAAACCTCCAAAAAGATCAGGAGCAAAACAAAAAGGAAAAACTCAATAAAAAATAGCTACTAGTTTCTTTATGACAAGAACAAAGAGATATCTTGAGAACACTTGTGAGCCTTGGCCTACAAAGAAGCCAAGAAGGTCACTCTGTCCTAAAAGAATTTGAGGAAAATACTGATATGTGAAGATTCTTGCATTTTGCTCAATCATCAGACCTGTAAACCAACAAAAGTCACCTCTAGGTGGGATCCCAACTTCCTTCTTCACACAAACTCCTTTAAGTGAAGAGATAAGAAAATATGTACAGAAGTTGTGGGGAGGGGTTGGCAATCTCATCATGCCAAAAGTATAAAAAATCACATTCCTAGCTACATCATAGTGAAGGAAGGGTAACAATAAGATTCAGCATTCTTGAAATACATCATACAAACGTCTATGAATAATGCACAGTTAGACCTGTGATCTTTTAACAAGTCATCTGTTGTTAATTTGGTAAGAACTACAATCTAGGTAAAAGCTTTAACCATGGAGGGAATTTTAGCCATTCAAAAAGCATTGGTGAAAGTTTTGGATAATGTGTAGAACAGTTAAGAGAGGACTTGTTGTTATCAAAACTGAAGGAGTCCAAATTCCAAAACCTACTATTAGGTTGAAAAGAAACATTACAAGGTTCACGTAGCTTAAGCAAGGAGAGCATATCAACAGACTCCAGATCATTTAGGTTCCTGAAGAGAGACATTCCATGAGGTATGCCTCTCAAAAAAATTAATGAAGTAGCAAATAGGAGCATTGTGACTCAAGGAAAGGTTATCAGGAAAATTAAAGTAAGTGGCACGGGGGAGATCGCGAATCCAGTTATCTTCACATAAAAATAAAATTCTAGTTCCATCCCTAGCCTCAAATCGGTAAGATGAATGAAAAGGTTAGAGTTGAGAGATGACTTTCCAATGCTTTATGAGTAACTTCTTGCTTCAGAATCCCAACAATCTTTTCGCATACCGTGGATATTCTTAATCAACTTTTGCTACAGAGAAAAGGTCCCAATCTAGAACCCCAATTGGCTATATCATTTTAGAAAGACTCAACCAATATAGGTGATGGGCTTTGGCTACATCATTTTAGAAAGACTCAATGAGATAGGTGATGGGCCTAGACATCCTATTAAACTTGGTTGTCTTGATCCTCTATACTAAACCCTGCAAGGCTGTTATTAAGGTTCACCCATCTCTAGGCTGGCCCTTAAGGTTTTTCAACATGTTTTTTTTTCTTTTTTCTTTTTGGGGGTATTTTGTTCAAATTCTCACTTTATGCCCAAATGCGGAGTAGATTTAATAGTGGTAAGTGGGTTAGTGCTTATTTATCCATTTGATCAAAGTCATGGTATCCTTTGATAGAGGGCCGAACAGTGGCTCGTGGTCATTGATCATATGTTTAGAAGCCTTTCTCATTTGACTGATGAACTTCTCTGCATTCTTGACCGAGCTAAATATGGTCTACCAGAGGTGTGTCCGAAACCATCCAAGTCAGATAGGGATTCACTTTTCTAACATTAAAAGTATTGATTGCTGATCAACTTCTTAAGCCCTTGATACTTATATGAATCTTGAAGTTATTTATTATATATATGAGACAACGAGAATGACTGCACCATATGTTCCTTATGACAACATACATATCAAAAAGGTCCTTGAGCTGATTACATTTGAATTGGTAGTTGACTAAATGAGGAAATTGCATGTCAAGGAGATCCTAATTGTTGATAAGGTTGGATGGATTAGCTTAGCTCTAGTGATGTTGGATCTTGAGTGTGAATCATTGATTATAGAAATGTTTGAGCACTTATATGTGGAGGCAAGTATAATTCTTCTTTTACAGGAAACTGATAATATCTTTGTTGGGTTGCTTCCTATTCTCTACCGTATTAGGAGAAAGAAGGAAAAAAGTTTTTTGTATCTGGGGGCTTCCTCTCTGTGACCTTTTAATGAGAAAGCTTTTTCTCTGAAAAAAATATGGTGTTGTAGAGGTGGAGCATTTTTCCTGCTTGGTGGGTCATTTGGTTGGACCTGAGCAAGAATCTTCAAGCATTGTTTTCAACTACCTCACATGGTTTGGGATATGACGGTCTTGTTCACTTCACTTTGGATTAAAGGCTTTGTTGTTTCTTAAAGCAATGCTTTTATCTACTTTGCAAAGAGAATGGATCTACATTTTGTCTTTGAGGCTATCTAGGAAATATTTTTATTTTCCCTAATAGTTAATATTCCCGTGTCTCTCTCTCTCTCTCTCTCTCTCTCTCTCGCTTAGGTTATGAGTTCTTCCAAATGATTGTGTCTCATTGCGTGTCATCTTTGTAATGATCTGTGCATGTGGGTAAGCTAATATTGGACTTCTGTCATGGGATTTCTGATATTCAGACAAATACATGATTTGATGTAAGCATCTCAGGATTCTACTTTAGGCCAGGAGGAAGGGGCTTATAGCCGTTTGGTGTGGTACTCTTTTTGCTAGTTGTTGGGTTTTATTGTTGAAGTGCAATGCTAGAGTTTTTCATCAGAACTTTTGAATTGGATGGTAATTCTGGCTTTCTTCATCAGCTAGGCAAACTGTCTTCTTTGGAGATATGCTATTGTCTATCTTGCAAAGGAATTGAGAGGCTATTCTTCATTGAAATATTTCCTTCTGTTTTTATTTTCTGGTTTTCCTTTTTGATCCGATTGTACAAGGATGGTTGGCCCTTCGTATCTTTGTAATCTTTTTTTATGCTCTTCTTAATAAGACTTTTTATTTTATAAAAAAGTTATTCTTTTCTGAGTTTTTCATGCAATTCATATATCCCTCCTTAGTTTTTCATTAATCTCTTTATGTTACTTTCAATTGTTACCCATCTCGGTTGTCCAGGGATTATTTGGTTTTAATTTCCTGACATAATGCCAGTTTGTCATTAATCTCTTTATGTTGCTTTCAATTATTAACCATCTCGGTTGTCCAGGGATTATTTGGTTTTAATTTCCTGACATGATGTTTTATTTAGGATAATGCAGTTGAACTCTTCAGAAGAGCCTGCAAGATCTTCAGCCTTGAATCTGAGCAGGTAGTATTTGATTTAGTAATGGATTTTTTTGGGCTATATTTATATTGTTCTCTAATTATAAAATTGTTACAGTTACGCATCTGGGACTTTTCTGGGCAGACAACCCTATTTTTTATGAATGACAAGAACAAGTTCTCAAAAGATCAGGAGGTACGTGGTTATCCTTGTTTAGTTAATTTATTTCTCTCTTGTCGCACTGTGTAAAGGCACTTAATATTATTGGATCTGGGGGAAGGCTTGCCTGCCTATGTTTACATCTGGAGATATTATTGTGCATCCTTTATATTAGCTTATGTTCTTTGAAATGCTTGAATATCTTTTGATTGTTTTCTTTTTTTAGAGCCCAAGTGTGTAACATTTATAGATGTCTTGCTGGTGACTCTTAGTGCTACATACTGTTTATCTCCAAAAAAAGTTATGAATGTCTATTGATTCTTAATGTTTTGTTGAGGAGAAAATATATAAATGTGTTTTGTGTGATTTTTGGAATGCTTTTTTTTTTTATAAAAAAAATTATTGATCTTTGGAATGCTTGAATTGCTTTTAATTGTTTTATTCTATTAGGTCCATAAATTGAGATCTTATATGGAATCTATTGTGGAAGAGGGTAAGGGCTCTTTAAGGGAGAATCCTTCAATCTCTGAATGATAGGGGCTCGTGAAGAGTTAGCCCTTTAATCTCTCAATTTGTAAACAAATTCTCTCTTAATTGAAGATATTCTGGACACAAATTTACTACCACAATCATTTTTTTTTAAATAAAAAGTACTACCAGAATCACTTGTCTGCATGCATTAATGTGGATAATCATTTGTTAAAGGTCTAGCTGGATTGGTTGGGTGTGTTATCTTGGACTGACCTATTACCTTTTTGGGCATTCCTCTGTTGGGTAATTCTAGAGCAGCTTCATTTTGGAATCCGGTGGTATCCATGGTTTCTAGACACTTGAGCATTGAAAGGGTGCTCTTTTTTATCTTGGTGGGAGGGTTACTCTTATTCAAGCATGCCTCTCTAGTATTCCCATCTATTATCCTTCTGTTTTCAAGATCCCTGAGGGCGTAGCCTAGAATCTCGAGAGAGTGATGAGAAATTTTCTTTGATCTGGATTGGTGAGTCCTCAAGTCCATTTAATGAGATGGAGGGTGTGTTTCCTTTCTGAGAAAATGGGGGTTTTGGTATTGAGAACCTTGCTTGTAAAAACCAGTCTTTTAATGAATAAATAGTGGTCGTGTTTTCCTATGGAACCTTGCTCTTTATAGCATAGGAGGGTTGTTAAAAATAAATTTGGGCTACAGCAGAATGGATTGGATACTAAATCTATTGTTTCCTTTCCTCACAAAAGCTTTTGCAAAGCTATTTCTCAACTTTATGTGTCTTTTTCCCCTTTGAAGGTGGAAGATGGTTCCATATATATATATTTTCTGGTTGGATTCTTGGCATGGCCATCTCCTTATGCCTATTCAGTACCTGCTTTTTGCACCTCGATAGCCTTTTGCTTCACCATAACTATCCTATCTCTTGTTTCAAGGTTCATAAGAATGGTTCTATTTCTTGGCATTTTTTCTTCCATGAAATCTTAATTATTGTGAAGAGGATGATATGCTTTTTTTCATTTTTTGCTTCTGGCTCTTGAAGCTATCATTCTTTTTCCAGCCTTTAGAGTAGGTTTTGGTCTCTGGATTCATCAGGCAGCTTGGTCTGGTTATTCAATATCTTTGTTGGGTCAGTCCCTTCAAATCTTGAATCATTCATTATTCTTATTTTTGTGCTTTTGGGGAAAAAAAGGATGTTAAATTGTTGTGAGGGGCCTGCTTTTTGGTAGTTTGTGGATAGGCTGTGGTTGGAGAGAAATGCTACAATGTTTTAGGATCTCTGTTCTCTTTTCTTATTTCTTTTGGAATAGATGACTTTTTTGATCTCCCTTTTGGTTAAGGCATGAAGGCTGTATAAGGATATTTCTCCATGTATTTTACATAGAAATTATTCGGCTGTTCTTTATTGATTTTACTTTATCTCAACATTTTCTGCTTTTGGTTTTCTTTTATTTTTTATGACACCTAATCCTTCTCTTATATACTTTCTCCCCCATTTTCTAATTATGCATTTTCCAAAAATGTCCTTCCAAGATGAGAGTTCTTTTGTTGGAAATTCGAAATCCTCCCGATGAATTGTTTGTGTAGAGATCTGGTGTCACCAATAACACTTAGCATCAGTACCAATATGTTAAGTCTCTTTGATTGAGATCTTGTTATGAGATTGTTGTGGAAGAGGATAAGGGCTTGGTAAAACAGAACTGTTTGATTGCCAAAATGGTAATGGTTATGGGTGTTCTAATTCAGTCTAAACTGGAAAATTGGACAAGACCTAAGAGATTGCTCTGGTACCTGGTCCTAATACTTATAAATTTTGGGACAGTCCTATGAGACTCTGTTACGACAATAAGTGATTAACGTCGCCTCACAATCCAGTACAGTATGAGAGAACTAATTACGTTGAAGTAGACAGATACTTCATCAAAGAGAAGCTAGATACTGGACTGATTTGTACTTCATGCATGTCAACTAAGTCACAACCTGCCATTGTTTTGACTAAATGATTAAGTAATCATGTATTTTAGACAATTATTGCCAAACTGAGAATGGATAATATATATTCATCAACTTGAGCAGAATTATTAAGTACACATTGGGGTTTCATTAGGGTAAAGGATATATTAGTAATATATCCTGGATCTTTGTGATCTTTGTAATTATTACTGTTTCTTTTTTGTTGTTGCTATTCACTTGTATATATAAGGCCTTGATATTTAATGAAATACACAACAATTCATTCTTCTACAATATTACCTCAGTAGTCAGAATGCAGCATTGTTTATAAGGTGAAAGCTCCCAATAAGGTGAAGGTTTCCATTTGGATTGGCCATCCGATAAGGTGAAGGTTTTCATTTGGATTGCCATCCGTAACAAGATTAAGACTGATGTCTGCTTCTGCCATGCAGAACTAATTGTTTGTTATTTTGGAAAAATTGAACGATCTGTTTTTAATAAGCATGAACCCATCCTGCGGGTTAACAGCTACGTCACTTGGAGTTTTTGAACTAGCTCTTTGATATCTTTGCTGTGAGTTCAGTTTGTTTCCCTTCCCTTAAATTATCGTTATCTCTTCTCTCTGTTGGTTTGGTAGGAATAAGTAGCAGAAAATGTTATGCAGAGGATCTAGTCTTCCTGGTTTATAGTTGGAAAGATTGTTTCTGGCCTCTCTTTTTTGTGTTGGACAGATTGGTATTTTGCCTCTTTTGGTATTGTGTCGGACATAGTGTTTCTGACCTCTTTTAGATGTGCTTTGGGTTAATGCTCATGCCTCTTTGGGTGCTTTTAGCTATTTTCCAAAGGGATTGGGCATCTATCCTCCATTGGAGTGAATTTGTTTTTCTGTTTTCATTTTTGTTTTTCCCCTGTTGGGAAAAATTGGGTTTTCCCACCCGATATTGAGATTTGTTTTCTGCATATGTCTATGTATGGGGTGACGAACAAAGAGCTAAAATGCTGTGGAGAAGGGCTCTATTTTGGATGCCGGGTTTTATGGCTGGAGCGAAATGCCAGAATTTTCAGCAACACGCTAATGCTACAGAATCTCTTTTATGATAAATTAACTTGTATGGCTTCTCTACGGGCTAAGGCTTATGGCTCTTTTTGGAGTTTGCCTTTATCTATTATGCAAGGGGACTGGGAGGCACATTGATTTTGGCAATCTTTTCCTCTTTTGAGGATGGCTTATCCTCTTCTATTTGTATTCTTCTCCTTTCTTAGTGTAATCTTCTTTCTCTATAAATAATTAAGGATATCTTAATATTTTAATATTTTATCCAAAATATGTTACCAATTTTTATGCATGAGCTCTAATGCGGCGTTACTTTACAGATTCTTCTGGAGTTGCAAATTTATGGGTTGTCTGATTTAGTAAAATGCAGAGAAGGGAAAAAGGATGAATTGTCTTTACAACATGCTAACCGGACAAATTCCTTTTCTGGTGTGTCACCTATGATGAATGGTAATGCTGGTCATTCAAGCTTCAATGTTGCACGAAACAATTCATCATTTTGGGGGAAAGCTGGAGAAGCTGGTTCACTGGGTTTGACAGGATTGCAAAATCTTGGAAATACTTGCTTCATGAACAGCGCCCTTCAATGCTTAGCGCACACACCAAAGCTTGTTGACTATTTTCTAGGAGATTATGTTGGAGAAATAAATCATGACAATGCGCTGGGAATGGATGTATGCTACATCTATCCTTCATCTGTGTCATGTTCTGTGGTTATCTAGACATGTGGCTTATTTCAGTTCACTGACATAAATGACCTCTTTGGCAGGGTGAGATTGCTTTAGCTTTTGGGGATTTGATAAGGAAGTTGTGGGCACCTGGTGCCACTGTTGTTGCACCAAGAACTTTTAAGTCAAAACTTGCCCGTTTTGCTCCTCAATTTAGTGGCTTTAATCAGCATGATTCCCAAGTTAGTGAAGTTCTCTTGCTCAAAGACATTTGTCTTGGTTTCGTTTTTCTTTCTCCCTGTCTCAGTGGGTAAGAGAATATAGTTGCACTTATGTTTTCTGCATGTCATGAAAAGGAACTGCTTGCATTTTTGTTGGATGGACTTCATGAAGATCTTAATCGGGTAAAGAGTAAGCCTTATATGGAAGCCAAGGATGGAGAGGGTCGACCAGATGAAGAAGTAGCGGATGAATATTGGCGAAATCATTTGGCTCGTAATGACTCGATCATAGTTGATGTGTGTCAAGTAAGTATTTATTCTGAGATTTTGGCAGAAACCACAGTGGAAATTCCTTTTTATTGGACTTCTGGTAATCAAAACATGAGTTCAGATTGTTAATCACATTTCTATCTGGAGGCATTATAGTGGAAAGTGAATTGTGCTTCTGAATGAGTTGAGACAGGCATCCTATCTAGTTTTGATTTGCAGATGTTTGAAATATGTATGGCATGGAATGGAATTTGTCCATAAAAGTTTTTTTCTTTTATGTACTGTTCATAATGCGATTCTTGCATTGCAGTATGCCAGAGGTCACTTGGTCTCAAGACCTTATCATGGCAGATGCGGTTGACTTTCATTATTTTACAGAAATCTGGTTGCTATAGCTGAAGTAGGAAAAGTAACCTGATATATGATTATGCATTGTAATAACTTAGATATTGAATCTCTCAACAAAATAACTTAGATATTGAACATCTTGGTTCTTTTTTTTCTGAATAAAAAATGTAATATTATTCATAAAGCACCAAAAGGATGCAACATATATGCAAAAAATTTACAAGTTTAGCAAAATATGAATAAGGTTCTCCAAATCCTCACTTAAATACACAAGTTAGACTCTTAATCAAAATACTCAAGAGTTTAGAACCACGAGTTTTTAATTCTATCAAAGTTACCATAATCCTCTCAGAGGCATGTCTACTCCTCTCTTTCCAATAATCCAAATGGTGTGAAAAGAAATTTAATTGTCTCCATATCACTTATGATGCCCTCTATGCCCAAAGTTCCTCTCTCATTGTGCTGGCTATGACCCAACTTAGGTCCAAAAGCTAAAAACCAGTGAACATAGGGGATGTACTAGTAGGTACTAAGGAGGATATGATTGCAATGTCTCTATCAGTTTTGTACAAGAAACACCTATCCATCAGAACTTTGCCTCTCTCGCTTAACTTGTTAAGAGTGAGAATGCATTCTCGCATTGCTTCCTAAGCAAAAAAGCCATTCTAGGAACCCCCTTCACCTTCCACATTGATCGCCAAGGAAACCTCTTTTTCTTTTCCTCTGGGTAGTCAGAAAAAGTTGTTAGGACTTGACCAAGAAGAGTCCCTTGGAACATAGACTCCAAGATAGTTCATCCTTGCTGTTCTCAGAGATCACCACCTGCAGAAAAGCACTGTGTATCCCCCACATACTCCACTCCCCAATCATTCATATTCAGGTCAACAGCCCAAACACCATAACAAAGATGTGCCTCCTATACTTTGATGTCATTGTCTTGAGCAATACTGAAAATTGAGGGAACTTCAAACGAAGTGCTCCCTCTTTCATTGAATAGTCCCTCCATAGACTCACCCTTTTACCCGATGCAATTCTCCATCGAATGTAGCTTTGAAAGGCCCCCTTATTCTTAACAATCCTCTTCCACAATCCAAGCCTATATGTTCCGTTTAAGTTTTGTCTACCACCCAAAACTTCTTCACCTCAAATTTTGCTCCGATTGCCATCCTCTAGGAACTCTTCCCCTCCCTCATTGATATCCAAAACCTTTTGCCTTGTAAAGACATTTTGGGTTTCACCAAAGATCTCTCACCCAGACCACCATTTTGATATGAGTGTTTAACCACATCATATTGCCACAAGATGATATTTACTTTTGTCTTCTAAGTCCCTCACAGAAGTCAGCATTGAATTGTCTCTAATCTCTTCGCCATGCTCGCATGAATGGTGCCCAAAGACATAAAGTAGATGAGAATATTATCCATTGAGCTTTTGATAAGAGTAAATCTTTCCCCCTTCAAAAGTAAATCCCTCTTTTATCTGGTCAAACGGAATTCAAATTTGTTCACCATCAAATCCCACACCGTATAATTGACACCCAACAGAAATGCATACCAAAATGGTGTTCAGCTATTCATCTTTCTCATGCATGCTCAACTGCAACAATTCTGACTTAGCCAAATTAATCTTAAGACTGGACATGGCTTGTAGGCTCAACAAAACACACCTGATATTGAGGAGGTCACTGGGACTTGGCTCACAAAATGGTAGCGTATCATTTGCAAATAATAAGTGAATCACTTTTACCTCTTTACCGATCCTGCCCACCTGCAAGTCTAATTGAGGTTCACCATTTATTCTTGGAGTCCATTCTCTTCATCATATAAAACAGAAAACTCCAAGCTACATGGTTGCAAGCCTCTCTATATCAAGCTTGTGTAAAACCTCTCGCTCTCCCTTCTTCAACAAAATGTCAGCAACCTCATTTTCTATCAAGGTTGCATCAAGAATTTGTCTTCCCCCTCCCCTCCAAAACAAAAGCATGTTGGCGTTTCCTAGTTCTTGCTAGGATTTTAGCAACTAATTTACACACAGCACCCACAAGGCTAATAGGCCTAACATTTATGATATTTGGCGCAACTTGGATCTTTGGAATAAATACTAGAAAAGTTGAGTTTAGATTTTTCATAAAGGACCCTGAAGCATGGAATTCATGAAAGGTAGCCTTTAGACCACTCTTGAAAATGGCCCACTTTTGTTAACAAAAATCTCATATTGCCGTACAGCCCCAGAGCCTAGTCCCCTTTACAACCAATATAGCCTCATTAATTTCCTCCTCAGAAAGAGCTTGTTTTAAGGAACATGAAATCTTGATTACTTAGCCTGTTGAAACTCAATTCATTAAAAGTAGTTTTCCATGGTTCCACTTCTCTATGCAAGTCTTCAAAGAAAAAACAAAAAAAAAACTTAACATCCTCTCTTAATTCCTCTTTCCCTTTTCTCAACTGACCACCTGCTTCTAGCTCCACTACGTAATTGCATCTCCAATTGTAATTAGCCAACCAACGGAAGAATTTGGTTTTTCTATTGCCCTTCTTGATTTACTTGGTTTTGACTTTTGTTGCCAGGCTATCTCCTCCCTCATAATGATATTAGCAAGCTCTAATAAGCAGAACATCCTGTCTCCGCTCCCCATCCTCCTCACAGAGACCCCTGTTTCCTTCCATCTTGTTTAATATTTGAAGCTCGGAAAAGAGCTTGTCTTTCCTCAGGCTCTCCTCCCCCAGTTCCTCCCTATTCTACCTATTGAGCTCGTCTTTTAACATGACAAGCTTTTTGGCAACTCTCAGGATATCAAAACCAGTACCTTCATCTCTTCCCATCACCCCTTAATCTTATTCTGGAACTCAAGAACTTTGAGCCAATTGTTCTCAATTCTAAGTGGACATTGTTCACACCTGATGCCATTTGTCTCCAAACTTATGGGAAAGTGTTCGAAAATTATACACTGCATAATTTTGTCTAACATTTGAATCAGTGTACCTTAAACGAGTTAGAAACAATAAGACGATCAATTCTTGAATAAGAGAGATTCTCCATGGAGCTCAATCACATCCATCTCCCACCATTTAGCGGCAAATCCATAAAGTCTAGTCTATCCATGATGTCATGGAATTCCTTTAGTATAGACCTTGGACTAACTCCCCCTCCCCCTCCCCCCCAGATCTGATGGTTGTTCAGCACCAAGTTGAAATCACCACCAGAAGATCCCGTCTCTTTTTGCACTTGTCCAAGTCCTCCTGCAAAATCTCTTTCTGAAACCTCTGCAAGCGTGTGTGACACCAGTAAACACTCATCTCCTTTCATTCACCTTACATCTGAACGCAGAAGAAATAGAATGCCTGCTTTAAAACTGTCCTCGATTTCCAGTGCATTCTCATTTTGTTACACCACCATCCCTCCAACCGGCCCCCCTGCCAATAACTCTCTCCATCCCATCTCCTTGACTTTCCGTAGATTATGGGCCGTCAAATCAGAGAAAATCTCCATTTTAAACTCTTGAAAACAAATAATGTCTAGTTTCCACCTTGCCATGCACCCCTTAATAAGGATCATTTTTCTGAATCATTCAATTTCCAACACAACATAATTTTATTAGTCATAATGGCATAATCGAAGATTCTCCCTTTTTCTCCTCTCCTCTCTACTAATTTTTTCATAATTTATTGGCATCTGAAGCC